CCATCTAGACAGATTGGTTTGGAGCAAGCCTGGTCTTTCTCTCCCCAGAGAATGTACGTGGGTGCTTTGAGACTGCCCTTGTATTGACCGACGAACAAAGTCTGCGATATTGAAGACCGACGTCTGCCGGGAGAACTGGACTCTGAAGCCGAAGTCTCCAGAGCGTAGAGGTCGGTTATAGTCTCAAGCGACTTGGTCCATGGCCTCCAACCCACTCCGTCTCGATAATAACCGGTCATATTCCAAAAAGCCTCCTGAGGAGATTGAGCTCTTTGCAGCACGCTGGGGCCGTAACTGGTTGCCTGAACCTCTCCGTTGGTGGAGGCTGCCGTGCCATTGACAGTCGGAATAGAGGTCTTGCATTCTTCTGGGCCAGGGCCGAAAGAAGAGGCCATGCATTCTTGCGCATGATATTCCTTGGAACCTTTGCCGTATGATGACCAATTTGCTCCCCGTATAAACGAGTAATTCCCGGCAACGCCGAGGTATCTGACGAAGATTGATGGCAGGTGGAATGCAAAAATGTAACCCATCAACAAAACTTGCAGGAGCAATGGCTTCAACGTATTCAAGGCTTTTGACAAACACCCGAAGTTTTGTTTCGGTGATTGTTTAAACTGCTTGAAGATCTTCGAGGCCGAGTTCAGGATCCGGTCCTTGTTGGCAAAGGCGAGCTCAACCTACATACATGGTCAGTCATCCGGTCTGGCAGCACTGGGGTCCGATGACTTACATGTGGCGCGTTGGTCAGAATGAAGCGATCTGCAAGGCTTGGAGCCTCTGCAGCCAAACGGAATCCCAAGACGCAACCCCAGTCATGGCCCACGATGAATGTGCTAGTCTCGTCTGAAGCCTCCGCGGGTATGTACTTGTCCCTCATTGCCACGACGAATTCCGTAAGAGCCTCGAGCACTTCGGTGTCGTACTTCTTGAAACTATCACTTCCTCCGTATCCAGGCAAGTCGACGCAGACCAAAGTAGTATTGCCTGTTGGCATGGCCGGCTCTTGCATGACATGTCTCCACATCATCGAACTGTCGGGAAATCCATGAAAGAATACCACCAGATTACCCTGAGAAGGCCCATGTCGGTTGCTAATATAGTGTAGTCTGAGTCCGTTGCGGAGGGTGTAGAAGTAGTGCTTGAAGCCAGGGAGAGGTGATTTTGTCAGGTTCCAGAAGCGATCTCGTTCTGTAGACAGGAAATCAGTGGTGTTACCTGCGGGAGTTCTGCACCCTTCACTTACCAATTGCAAATTGTAGCTTGTCTTGCTCGGTATCCTTCCTGAAGAATGTTCCATTTTTCACAAACAGCCCCAGAAACAGACACCAATTGAAGAAGCCAAACGAGTAGAAGGAAACCCGGCTTAAGACTCGGCCCAAAAAGGTTGAAGCCATGGTGAAGGGTGCTCTGTAGAGCAAGGCCGGTTCATGAGGTGCTGAAAGCGGTCAACTGTTCAATAAGCCAAGGCAAGTCGGCGAATTAAGGAGGGTCCGCAGTCTGGTACAGCCGCGAGGGTATGTAGAATCCGAGATGGTCTGGGGTCAAGTCTGGTTCTGGTGAGACTGGCTCTGAAGGGAGACAAAGAAAACAGATGAAACCCGTGACTGCTCAGGAAGGCATCAGCATCAAACATTCGATTTCACGCATCAACGTTCACATTCAGCAAGGCGCCTGCCTGATGATAAGCAACGAGGAATGCCGAGGTGTGATCTTTCCCATCCTTGGGGAACGCCAGCATGATCAGCCCATTATTCTCGGACAGACAGACTGGTTGCATGCTTCAGTACGCCAGTCTGTGCACAAATAATTCAGGGGAACACAGACGTAGCTCCAATAGCTGCAGACAAGTCGCGTGTTGGAGCGCAGGGGGGAAGAAGGCATCACGATGGACGACTCGATACAGCAATGATGGACAAGGGAGACACGCGGAAGCACCCAGGAAGGGCAGCTTAGGCAGCTTACCGTCACCACTGTCAAGCAGATGCTGTGCTACCGTGGTGTGCGTGGGACAGTATTGGGGAGGGGGAGGCGGATGAGGGGCGGGTTTTGCAGTGGAGGGGCAAGTGTTTAGCCTCCCAGGCTGCGCTTCAGACAAGACTGCGCTTCAGACAAGACTGCGCTTCAGACAAGACTGCGCTTCAGACAAGACTGCGCTTCAACTTTCCCATCATCATGCTGTCCACCACTGCTTCATCCAAGCACGTACAGTAAGTATCCTCATTACTCGCTATGCACCTTGGAAACTCCTAGACTTTCCATCCCCCTGCGGACCTAGACCAGATGACCATCCAACGAGCCCTCGTCAACCCGCCGATCATCATCCTCCCAGGACCACATTTGCGCACATTTCATACACATCCCCAAAAGATCTTCGCTGCTATACCCTAGCTCTACGGGTTCTGGGCCTTCTAATGGATCCCAAGCTCTCAGGCCGTCTTCTCTATCTTCAAGGAACAGAGATCCCCAGGAGGATCTTGGGGCAGGCGAAACAATTGGCTGCTAAGCTACCGCGTGGTCGACCGAGACTCGTATGCGTCACACCTGCAACCCCGTCAGGGTTGGACGGTGGCAGTCTCTTGCACAAGATATGTCGAGCTGGCAGGCTGAATTGAGCCCCTTCGAAGATCTTCATTTCGAGGCCGAAGGTCTTCGTCGGCGTGACCAATCGTCCAAAGCCAAAGCTACCCGACTCCTTGGCTGTGGAAAGTTTCAGCGGCTAATATTGCAAAAGTCGCCACCACTGCTTCCGGCCGCAGCCAGCCAGAGGTGCCAGAGAAGTCGGAGGAAAGCCTCTAGAAGACTTACACAGTAGTCAACGGCCGAGGGCATGTTGTAGGGCTGCCCCTGCCTAAGCCGCTATGAATCCTCCCTTCCCAAGGATCTCTGATTCGAGGACCGTGTAGCTGGTCAGTGGGTATGTCGATCCTACGACAGTCCGCCAGTCGACCAAAGGGACGGATCACACCCACCAGGAAATCCCTTTGATGGCATTTTTGCCTTTCTACATTGCCATTTACACTCCACGGAGCACGCAAGGGTTTGCCGGAAAGACCTGCTGGAGAAATTTCCCTTGAGCTGCTTCGAAGATCAGAAGCACTTTCAGTAAAAGAGTCTCAGTCCTGTACCACTTGTGGCTATCCTGACACGTCTATGGGGATTCCACCAGATTAGCATCAAGTCCATGCTAGCTCAAGATGTCTCGCCATTGGCGCTGAGCTTTATGGCACCGTTATTGGTAAGCTAATCTGCAGTAGATCTTGGTGCTAGCCATCAACCGGTCTCTCAATCATATCGACTTCGTGACTGGAAGCAAAGGGTCAGAGATTCAATATGCTCGCCATCAGCGCCTCACAGTCTACCCTGGTGATTTGCTAGCCTGCCAGGGTCTGACACAGTCGTGCCAGCCCTCCTTCGCTGAAGAAACCTCCTGAATGGACTGTTCGGGTTGAGTTTGTACCATTGCGATGGCCCGGAAGATGAAGATGAAGATGAAGAGTACTAACGTCAGTCCCCGCGCTAGGCTTGAAACCATGGCTCCGTCTTGCAACCCCCGAGATGGTTGATGATGTTAATACAACCGTTTGCGTTGATCTCGCGTCGAGAGAGGTGTGCTGAGGTCAAATCGGTGGTGTTTGTTATGATGTCGTGGATGTCTGATGATGTCGCCATCGGGGCAATGTGTAGCTGTGGTCTTTACGGGAACTGACATGTCCAAAATAGATATAAATCCCCTGGAGCACTCGCTTTCACTAGCCCTGCAAACGGCTACGTCTGATCAGTAACAGTGTTGTATTCAGGTCACCTGTTTGATGCTCACCACAGCGTTCGATAAGTGGCTAACAAGGGACGCGGCAGCCTTCACTCCTACCACTCCAAAGGTCCTTCGACACGAAGAAGCGGTTCGAAGCCCGAGCGGACGTTACTGTTTCGCTCTCCCTGCAATCTGTGGACCAGTCCTTGCCTCTCCTGCCAGGATGCCCATGTAAACACTATGAGACCGACGGCCCAAATGACGCCAATGACAATGGCAAGGATCACCAATACGTCCATTGTTGCTCTTCTAGATTCCCAGATGAGGCGGTTGACCAACCGAATTGAGATATCTTCAGCCGTGCCTGCCTGCCGAGAGATGGATTAGAGGGTTGAGAAGTGGATGCTCAGATATGTTTTTTACTGGGTATCAATTTGTGAACGAAGGCAAAAAAGATGTTTGAGCTCGCCGCTGAAGAAGACATTTTATGGACCTCAAAGCATCACTTTACATGTCTCCCTATCCAAACCATCAACGAGTGCAATCTGTCTTCACAGAGACTTGCGGCTCGTCACAGGCCCGAGGGAAGAATGCCTATCACGACAGATTACCTTTCGCTACAGTTGACTCGGGCCGGTCTGTCCGTACCTTGGAATCTCCCTTCTGTTTGCTCCATATGTCACCAAATATCACTTTCTCCTTTGTTTTCACCTTGGGAGAGGCACAGTCACCGAAGCGACCAATGCGTTTGACATGACAGGCAAGGGTGAGAGCTACGAAGGATAGCTTGCTAGATATGTCAGTGACAAGACGCGCCCTCTTCTCCATCTTTGCAGCGCTGGTGCAATACATCGCATCACATGTCAAGCGGCATATCCAAAGTGGTCGCTTTATGATTCAGGTTGTTGTTGAAGTACAGACGGACATGTGTGGCATGAAAACCCCCTGGGCAGGACGATTCTCAGCAAAATACACTGCATTACGCACCATCGGAATCAGAGAGATATCACGAAGGCCTTCAGATGTTTATGAACACATTTCATCAGAACAAGCGTTCCATTACTGTCAGCTTCCCAGCCACCGAAATGCTAAGGTGTCCCTGATATCTTCTGCCAAACGACGACCATCTCGCCCTTTTATCGATCGATCAAGATCGCTCGGGTCAACTTCCGTTGTAAGATACACTCTGGCGGTCCGAAGGAAGGCCTCTATACAAGTGCCCCGTCAAAGCCGCTCAAAAGAATGCTCACACGACAAACACAGGTGGAGACGCCGCGTTGGCTGCCCGTAACCATCCGCCGGGACTGCGACGAGCCTTGGCTGTGCCACCACGCCGACGTTCTCCTGTCAGTGATGTCAGTCGCATGGCTCCCGCCGCGCCCACGTCTATCTGGTTGGCCTTGTCCCGGGTCCAGCCGTGGCGGATGTACAGATTCCAGACGAGAGAGACGAAGAAGAAGCCGACCGCACCAAGGAAGAGGACAATGGCCGAGTTGGAGACTCTGGAAGGGGGAGAGATCGACTTTTTGTTCAGCAGGTACGGTTGTGAAGAGATGCTCTCGCCGTCGCCACGGGGACTGCGTCGAGATGCCAGATGCTCGAACAAACCCGTGGCTACTTTGACGGGGTTGTTTGGTGGGTATGCAGAGCTGCGACCTAGAGCACGAGCGCGGTCGGAAATCCTCGCAAAGACCTCTGCGGGCAGCTCATCTCCCGCCTCCACGTGAAGCAAATTTGGGAAATAAGGTGTTGCGATCGGATAATACACGAAGCGCGTCGTCGTCGTCGTCGTCGTCGTCGTCTTCACGCTCGGGAGATCGTCTTCGGGCACGGCGCGAGGGTTGGGGGTGGCCGTGGCCGTGGCCTCGACCAACACCGTGCTTGAAGTCCCGATTCGCCAGTGCTCGTTTTCAAGGACGGCACTTCCATGCAGACGTCGATGTTGATGATCGTGTCTGTAATGGACAGGAGCGCCCGAGACTGAGACCGAGACTGGTGGCAGAGCAGAAACCAGAGCCAGTCCGAGCACAAGGATTTTTGCTGTGGCGCAGACTCGGAGTGGTGCCATGCTGAGGCACGAGGATGGGTTATCGCCCTGAGAGAGGCCCTGCAGGGTCCAAGGATGATATCTATGATATCTATCTATCTACCCGCCGCGTGGATATGGGATAGATGATAGATTGGGATTGGGTGTCTGTGCGTGTCGAGGGAATGAATGCAGAAAAAGACACAGGGAGAGAAACGTACTCCTTTCCAGACCAGAAACCCAGAAAACAGGGAGTAGGAAGGGAGAAAAGGACAGTAGACGGAAAACAGCAAACAGCAGTTACAAACATAATCATAGTTACGATCACTAACTCACATCACTCACAGACACAGATAGGACATGATCCATGACGGTTTGCGTGTGTGAGATTTCTTATTTTCCCTGTTTGACTGTCCCTCTCATCTCAAGGTTGATGACAATCCGTTTAGAGTTTCGTGCTGTGCTGTTTACTATGCTGTTTACTATTCTATCCTCTATCCTATTCTATCCTAAGCCCAGCTGAGATAGACTGAGTTGAGAGTTGAGAGTTGGGAGTCGATTTAAGAGAGCGAAGCCGAAGAAAAGGGGTCATTTACAACACAGATCCGTCCGGGGCAATAATAAACCTGAAAGACAGATGACAAGACGATCTGGTAACAAGCACGTTTCTAACAAAGCGGAAATAAGGTGTTATATCTAAGAGAGGATGGAGGACATGAATAGTGTCCAGAAAAAAAAAAAGAAAAATAGAAAGAGAGACATGATCTAACGGATACTTGATAATGGACGGAGAGAGGAAAGACGATAAACTGGCTAGATGGCTAGATGGCCAGATTAGATCAGATCAGAGGTGACCGGATGGAATGCTACCTAGACAATCAAGAAATACCTCTACCTGAAAACTTCCATAGTACATAGTACGCACTCGACTACCACGTTATTATACCCTAGATATCAACAATAGACAAACAACACCGCCCGCTCTCAACTCCCACCAAACCCAAAGACCTCCTCGAACCACCTGACCCGTCTCTCCTCGCTGACGACACGACGACCAAGAAGCGCCCTCAGATCGCCGGACAGACGGCGCGGGCCGCACACGAACACGGTGACTCCATGGACCCGAGTCGGGGGGTCGCGGTCAATGTTCGAGGAGGAAAAGATGTCGTCGACAACGGGGTCAAGAGCCGGACGGTGGCCGAGCTGGTGGATTTTGAGACCTCGTTTCTTCAGCGAGGCCAGAGAGGAGGCACTGGACAGATCGAGTCCTTCGGGAGACAACGAGGATGAAGAAACGGTCGTGATGTAAACGTCCACATCGAGCGAGATTTCCTCTGCAAGACACCGCACGAGCAGCTCAATGCCCCATTGTGCATCGGCGAGGGATTTGACCAGCCACACCATTTTGATGCGTTCTTCTGCTTCCCCTCCCCGTGTTCCATCTGCTCGACGTCGACGACGCCGTCGTGACTGCAACAGAGCCGTGTATATCGGCAAGATGTACGTGGCGCCTATCCCACCAGCCACGAGAAGGACCGAATCGTTGTCGAGACCAGAGTCGAGGATCTCGGGCATGTACACGCTGGCTTCGCCATAGGGTCCTTCGATCTGGACTTCATTCGTCGCCGCCTCCCGCTTAGAAAGGGATGCGAGAAAGGAAGTGCCAGGACCACCCATGTTCCGGAACACGACTATCACCTCTACCAGCTGCGCCTCCTTCTCGCCTCTGGCCGAGGACTGCACGTTCGCAATCGTAAACGGCGTCTTCGGACCGATCATACCCCTCCGCTGACGAACGTAGACGTGCTGCCCAGGAACCGCACGCGCCAATGCACTAGCCTTGTCCACAAGAAGCGTCACTCGCACAAGTTGCGTGCCAGCTATATCCTCACATCTCACCTCTCGCACATTCGTCGCCCCATTGACCCTCCTCAACCACCCGCTAAGAATCCAAATTGCCGCAACTTGCGCCACGTAGAAGCGCGTATAGGGCACGTGCGCCCACAAGACCGGAATCACAAGGGCGCTCAACACCACATGGCTTCTATAGAACAAGACATGGTACATGTTCCTCCTCACGACGGGGACACTCAGCAACCCCAGGAAATTGAACATCCAAAACGCCAGGACGCCCAACCGGACGTCGGGGTCCTTTATCCGCTTCGGCAGAAAGCCCATTGCGACGAAGAATCTGAGGTAGAGCACGGCATGTGCGGCCAGAAAGACATGGACTATGCGTCCGAACATACGGTGAATGGCGTTGAGGCGTTCGTGGGTCAGTCCCGTGGTCAACATGATGGGTGAATAAGTGGTATGTTTGAGGGACAAGAGGTAATGCATCGGGAGTTGAGAGACTGCCACGTGGCCAAACGCCTTGGTTAGGTGCATGTAGTCGTTTCCCGTGTTGTGAAAGGTGAGATAAAGCAGCCATGCCGCATATATCAAGCCAAGCAGTTGAACAGAGAGGGGGCCAAATTCAGGTATATATGTCGTCTGCAGGGTCCACACAGCACGTCGAAGGTAAAGCTGCACTCGCGACGCCTGCCGAGAGCCAGATGATGACAGCGCTGATGTCGACGGGAAGAGCAATGGATGAAAGTAGCGTCGATAGAGGTAGACGACGACCAAGAGGACGATTGGGGAGAGCCAGGCACGGAACCCAACACCATTGAGCTGACGACGGCGCTCTTCAAGCTCGGTGGCAGAGAGTTTGACACTCATCAAGTAGGCCATCATGGGTGTCTATAGTGCTTCTTTCCCACGACTGGAAAGGTTGAAAGGAGAGAAGCCGAATCTTTTAGCTTGGGCGCAATTGGAACCGAGTACTCGATGCAGTGGCATTAATAAGCCACGTCCAACGACCAGGCCTCAGCACCTCTTGTAGGGCGTCAACTAGAGATATTTGCCCAGGGAATTCTCAGAAAGCTCAAGGAAGAGTCGACATGTTTAGATGAACTGGTTGGGAAGACCTCTCTAGTCCTCAGTGAATGTAAGCTGGTAGTACCTCAGGAGGCCTGACTGAGTCTCGACAACGAAAAGGAGGTGAGGCTGAGGAGACCGAGTCTGGGCGCCAAGCCAAGGCTGAACTCCTGCATGACCCCCTTTTTTTTCTTGATAAGCGTGGATGAATTGCCCGAAACCAGACACAGGCTACGGGACCTCCCAAAATAGTCAATTAAGTATATGTATCTTAGACACCATAGACACCGCTCAATACACCGCCCAATGCAGTAGCAAAATCAATGTGCTTGCCATGCCATGCTGTTGAATATAATGATACACATTAGACAAGAACTCATAAGCCCATGGCAATGGCTCATTCAACCTCAAACTAAACGTCCAAAGATGCTCCATTCCCATGCATAAGTCATGCTTAGATCCGAAACGCCAGAAGCAAGACGACCATAAACAAGCAGAGAGCTTTTCAATCTCGACAACAAGCATGCTGCAAAACACTTGTCAGAAATGTTCCCACCTTTTTGATGGAACCTCCTCATCATTCATCCCTTCTTATCCATCGAATTCCAGTATCATGCCTTCGTAGCAGCCACAGCGACTCGTGGCTCGCGCTGAGCAACTCCCCCATCTTCCTTGTCATCCGTACCGGGCCTAGACAGTGGATCAATCGATTCCTCTTTCACTCGCGCAGATCCAACAGACCCAGACAGATTGTTGTCTCGTGGACCACCCCTTACTGGATTTTCCACAGGCTCAACAGTATCCTGCCCCAATTCAAAGTGAGGGGGCTTTAGTATGGGTTTGGGAGGTTTTGGTACTTTTGTAGGGGATATGTGTGATATTACCGCCTTCTCCATCTCTTCCTTGGTTGAACTCTCGGGCATTTTTCTTACGGGAGGCTCCGCCACCTCTGCCAATTCCCGTGGCCCTGTGGGCGATAACAACGCCTCACTTTGCAACAATTGTAGTTGTTCCAACTTTGTAATCGGGTTCTGTTTCCCACAATATTGGCATCTCCAATAGAAATCACGATGCGCATCATGCGATGGGGGATGTGAAGCAGCAGGAAACTCAGGTTGAGGGTAGTGGGAGAATCGACGCACCCATTCTGCTTGTTTTGGTACACCTTCTGCGGTCGGCAAAGTTCCTTCTTCTTCCTTCTCCTCACCCCAGAAGGTAGGTCGTCGGATCGGCGCCGGAGTCACGGGCAAGCTCGGGCGCTCATCCTTGGTCGGGAAGTCGGTTAGTTTGATGCTCGGGCGTCGTCGATCTCTCTCTGTTGGAGTGGTGGCGCCACTGGTATTACGAGGCGAGCGTTGTCCTAGGGTATTATACAGAACCTGTATCTTGCCTTTTCGAGGTTGACTGATGGCCTGCACGTAGCGCTCTATTTCGGGCATGTCATCCCATGCATTGCTTCGTTGCTGGAACGAAGCCCAAAGGTCAACTGGTGCTTGAGGCGGTGTGGTCACGCTTTCTTCCGTCGCCCCAGTGTCGTCCGTCGCGGCCGAGGGAGTCGTCACTTCCTCAGAGACAATGGCCTCCGGTTCCGGTGGAGGAGGTGGTGGTGGACTCGGCTGCCTAGGCTGAGGAAACACTCGTGTAGGTTTGGGTGCCCTTGTCTCCCAGGGGAAGATTGGTTTCGGCTTCTCGGGTTCGGGAACCTTCTCAGGCACCTGATACCACATATCCTTTGGCGCTTCCGGATAGTGAGAGGGCGGTTGGAAGAGCGTAGTCTCGCTCGACATGTCATAGATCGTGGTTGGAAAGTTGGCAGCCTCTGGTTTCGAGTGTGTAGGCGGAGGCTCTCTGTTCACTATAAGCAACTCATCCGACATTGCAAAAGCACAAGCATTTGCCTACCTTGCGGGATCCCATTCGGCATGTGGTGCCGAGAATCGCCTCTGTTCGACTGTGGGGACAGGGTGGAAGTCAGATGCGGCTTTAGGAGTAGGTGCATCGCCCAATGGCAGCTCTATAGAGGTTGTGTGACCAGATGCGGGTTGAGACACTTGGATCTGCGGAGGTAAGGGAATCTGTCCAGTATTTTCGGATGTCGGATGATGGTGCTGGTGCTCGTGATGCTGATGTTGCTGATGTTGTTCCTGCTGTTGGTGGTGGTGGTGGTCGTATTGGTGCTGTTGCCCCTGCTGTTGTTCATGGTGATGTTGCTCTGGATGATAGTGGTATTGGTGCTGGGGTTGTGAAACTGGACCGGGTCCTGGCTGGTAGCTGGAATAGCCTACTACGTACAAAGGTTCCTCCCCACGAACGTAGTCTTGCACTTTTTTCGAGGAATCAAAAGTTTGAGCGTCGTAGTAGGTGACAGTCTGTAAAAGTCAGTCGGACCACAATTCGCTTCCCTTGAGAATCCGGCGTACCTTTGGTCGATAGTGTCTGTCGTAGACGGACCACCACATTCCCAGTAGCTCGCCGTATACACCTGTATTGAGCTTGTTATCTCTACCCAACGTCCATGGTTTGTCTTTGCCGATGAAGTGCACTACTGCAATACTACTTGAGAAGTGCCGGTAGGCAGGGACGTATTGATAGTGGCCGCTTGGTGTGCAATTGTACACAAAACTCAGTCTCTCCCACTCGCGAAAGTGCATGTTGAGGAGACCCTGATCAGCTCCGTCGAAGCTGATTCCCCTTTGTGCCAAAGCATAGAGAGAATAGTAATCGGCCATGTTGGGATTCAGCACCATCATGCCACTGTTGAAACAATCGGGCCAGCCGATATCCGGTACTGCAGCGAAGTTCGTGTCAAGTGTGAGAAGCTCATTCGGAGCCCTGAGTGCGACCATGTCTGCGTCCAGGTACACTATTCTCTTGAACCGCGTCTGCCGCCAAAGCTCGACCTTTGTGAAAGTAGATATCAAGTCGGCTCGATTCATGAGGTAGAGATTGGAGGGGTTTTTATTCTGGATCTCCTGTATCGGTACGATCTCGTCGTAGACGGTCTGGCATTATCAGTACTGGTACAGGGAAAAATTCAGGTAGAGGAACGGACTCGCAGCTCAGTGATGGTATCGGAGGACAATCTGTCGACCAGAATAAAAGCCACCAAGGGGGCTTTTGCGCCTTTGTCTTTCAATGAATGGCCCAGGACCATAGCGCCTATTGACAGTATGAGCTTGAGAAAAACTTGGGACAGAGGGATACTGCTCGACATACCTGGTAGGTAGGCATCGTTCAGAAGCAGCTGATCACGTTTTGCGTCAGTGATAGTCAACAACAATGCGGGGAAACAGCGCGGTTAGTCCTGCAGGGAGCTCTCACCGTCGCAAAGACCGCCACGCGGATAGGTGCCATGATGGCGAGGGAAAGGTGGTACTGAAGGAGAGACTGTCACCGGCGGCCGATAGACGAGATTATTTAGGTAGTAAAGACAGTAGAAGACTTCTCAAAGTCATGTAGCTCAAACTGGCAGAGTGGGAGTTAGCCACCGCTGGGCCCGAGGGATGGTGACCGAGTGATGATGATCAACCACTTTTTTTCGAGACGCAGAAAGCTGCGACATGCATGAGCCGGGCGAGGTTGTGAGTGGCTGCTTGGGCGATTGAGGTGGTGTTGCGGGTGCAGTGGGTGCCGTAGGTGTTGGGTCCCCCGCACCGGATACAAGCACCTGGCCAAATGTCCCAAGGGAGCTGGTCCTGCTGGATTAACTATTGGCGGGAGCTCCCACAGGCCCTGGTTCCTGTAGTGGCGTTTGGAGCTCTGCCCTGCCACTGGAGACACCAGGAGCCACTTGGAACCACCAGTGCTACCCACAAACAAACCAAACAGCAGCCTCTTTCTGCGGCCAGTCCAGAGGTGACGTCTTTCTTCTGTGCGGAGTGATGCAACTGTTGATGTTCTTACTCGTCCTCAGTGATGTCGAGGGTCAGATGCCTCCCCAGAAACAATGCAAGATCAACAGCCTCGGTTGCAACTCATCTGCAAGTCATTATCACTTTGATGTTGTCCTCCTCGCGGACCTCCCGGTATTCCCACGAACACGTCTTCTCTTTCCGGGAAGTCACCACACCAGGAGATTGAGACAAGAGAGGGGGGGCAAAACAATTGGGAAAAAGCATGTGCTCGAGCACGTTGCAGAAGCGTGGAATGCCACAAGTACAAAGTCCAAGCAGGTAGCGCTTGTCATCAATCCACCCCGACGATAGGTAAGCGCAATTTCCTGCAAAGGGCCGGGCTACGGGGCTGGTTTAGGCTCTTTAGGCGAGGTTCGGTGGACGTTGAACGAGGTTAGGGAAGCCTAAGTGAGCCTCACCCGCCCCAAGGCTCGGGGTTTCATGGTCCGATGTGGCTACTTGTAGAAATATACCCACTGTGGCTGTTTCTTGTCTCGTTGCTATGGTGTCCACCACCATCTTTTTTTTCCCATCACACCATTTATTTTGCTTATCGTATTGTTTTTCATGATACCGGCTTCACGCGTGGCGGCTTGAGGAAGGCTCATTGTCTCGATGGATGGCACCACGGAACCATCAGGTACTTATCTATGCACACAGAATGAAGAAGGAAAAGCGCGGGGGGCCTGTCTGCGCCCTGGTGCAAGCCGCGTCTGGTGTACAACTACGACTAGACGCGTGCATTGCTAACAAATCTTCTACAGAATGTCGGAACACCTCCAAGAGATCCTGGACACGCCATCTCGTATCTCGGTACACAGACCTTAAGCTCAACTAGTCATACAAGTTCACCGCTGCTGTCCTCACTCCTACAAACCCGAAACCAGCTCCGACCATCCTCCCAGGTAATTGAACAGACTATCTAACGTCCTTTCTCGATTCCTACATTCCGATCTAGGCCAGCAATCTTTCGATATCCCTCAATGTCCCTGCTCGTCTCTCCTCTCTCTTTTTACCCCCATCCTTCTCTCCAAACGCCTCGCTGGCCAACTTCCGCTTTCTCGCCTGAATCTCGAGCACTTCGTCCTCGATTGTGCCTTCTACGACCAAGCGAATGACCTTGCAATCTCGAGTTTGGCCCAAGCGATGGACACGGTCCACGGCTTGATCTTCAATGGCGGGAGCCCACCATGAATCCGCCAGAATGACTTGATTCGCGGCCACAAGGTTCAAGCCGACAGAGCACACAGAAAGGGACGCCAGCATGATTTTGCAAGACGGGTCAGAATTCAGTGATTCAACCGCCGCGTCACGTCTCGTCGAGTTCATTTTACCATCGAGTCGCGTGAATTGTAAACCCTGGCGGACGAGCTGAGCCTCGACCAGATCGAGGAATGATGTCCATTGCGAAAACACCACCGTCTTGACGGAAGGATCCGAATCAGATGCCTTGAGTACCTTGACGAGCGCCTCGATCTTGGTACTGGTAGTCTCAGGATCAATATCAAGATCTAACTCGTCACCTTCGCCAATTCCGGCTGCGGGTTCGACCAGTTGCTCGTTGTTTTGAAGAGATGCACGACACATGGGGCACTTGTGCTGAGTGTCGATCACTCTCTCGATGCATGCCCGACAAAAGGTGTGTGCGCAGGCCGTAATGACAGGATCGTCCAATGAATCCAAGCAGACACAACAATCTTCCTGTGAGTCGATCTGTATCTGTAACATGTCCTGTAGAGCTTTGCGATTCGCCGAATTCGTTACGTCCACCACCTCATTCGACTCTACCAACTCCAGTAATTTTCTCACTCTCTCGTCTCCGCACATCTTCCAGTGATTGCACGTCTGGCGCAGCCTCAGAAGCACTTCAAGCAGGTTTGTCATGGTAGAATCTCCTTTCTTGGCCTTTGCAGCTTCGACTAGACCTTTCGCCTCCTGCTTGAAAGCATCGTACCGTTCCTGCTCATGAGCCAAAAATTTAACGAGATATTTGTGGAATGTGATGTTAGGAAGCCGGAGATCAATGAATTTCATGTCCTTCATACGTCGCAGACACAAGGTCGACATCAAGGCCTGGAGAAGCAGGCGTGCTCCATCATAGCCATTCTTGAGTGGCCGTATCAAAGTGGAATTGAAGACCTCAAACTCTGTCAGTCCACCTGGCAAACGAAGGAACTTGACATGCGAGTACAGGTCCTTCAGACTGTTGACGATAGGAGTGCCTGTCAGAATCCAGCGAGATGTCGCTCGAAGAGTACATGCTGCTTGCGACATTTTAGCCTTGGGATTCCGAATCTGGTGGCCTTCGTCTAGGACAATGCGTCGCCATGTCACCGAGAACAGCCCTTTCGGTGCAGGTGTTGATTGAGGTGAGGTCTTGCCGTATGGGAAGAGCTCCTGGGTCATCGTTTGATATGTTGTGATGACAATATCGTACTCTTTTAATTGCTCTGGCGGCAACATCTTGTTTTGAGGACCGTGGTAGGTCAGAATTCGTGGCGCGTACTTCTTCTTGACGTGCAAAGTGGCCTGCGTGCTCCAGTTGCTCATGACTGAGAGTGGTGCAATGATAAGGGTTGGATCTCCATTTTTATGAGGATCGGCCATGATGAGCGAAATGATTTGAATGGTCTTGCCTGAGAGGGCGTTAGCGAAGCAGACCACGGGTTCAAAGCTTCAGAGCAAAACACTTACCCAAGCCCATATCATCGGCAAGGAGTCCTCCACTAGCCAGATCTGGAGCCTTGTTTGAGGAGAAGTTGGTTGCAATATTGGTGTAATACTTGCCCGTCTTCTTCCACATCTGAACCACATCCTCAGCACTCTTGGGCAATGAAGGGGACTCATGGTCCAGCATCCACTGGAGGCCTTGTCTCTGGTAAGGTAGTAGCACCGTAGCAAGCTCGTTAGGCTGATCTGCCATGGACATCTTCGAAAGCACCTCTTCCCCGGCTCCAAGCTTGTTGACGGCGCTCTGTACATCGCGGGGATTGAACACCGCAGTCCCACTGAGAAGTTGATCCATGCTTGGTTCTGTCTGTGTGCCCAAGCCTGGGTGGGCGCCCATGTTGCTATATTTGTTCGGTCCTTCGTTGTCAAAGACCGTCATGCCTTGCTTCCGCATTGCAGCGGCAGCCTTTTCTCTGGCCTTCTGCTGCTTCTCGAACTCCTGCAGGCGCTTCTTGCGTTCTCTTTCTGACTTGTTGTACTCTGTAATGGGCAGATGCAGATCTTGCATCTGGCGGGCCAGAGCTGCACCTGCAACAGGGTCGTTGGTGCCAAAGAGTTTGAGACCGATGGGACAGTCGTAGTAGGTCTTTGGACCTGTCAAGGCCCCTTCGACCAGGAGTGAGCCCGCGTCCATCAACGGTGCCAGTTTTGCCGCTACATTCCTGCCGATATGGCCGATTTGATCACGGAGGACATTATCGATTCTGATGGCGTTGCTGTCGTACTGATTACGGGGCTCCCGCCTCACCCTCACGTATTCTCCGACCGTGGCCTGGCCATCGTAGAAGCGACAGCCAACGATCTTGGTATTGAGTATACCGTACAGTTGAAAATTCTCATATACATCGTCATCCAAGTCCTCTGTCAGGTCAATCTCTCGGGCGATATCTGCCTCCTGTTCCTGGGTAGAGCCCAGCCAGCTATCGTGTGCGGCATTGCCGTGGGATCTTTGGCTGAGTTGGCTAAGACTAGGCGTATAAGCTCTGTGTGTTTGTTTCGAGCGATGTGAGGAATTTCCGGGTTGACTTGAAGACGGTGGTGTTGGAAGGGTAGCGCGCCCGTGAGCAGTACTGAAGGATTGGGTCTTCTTGGGGACCTTAGACCGCGAATGATTCTGAGAATCGTCGTCACCGTCGTCTCCGGTGAGATCAACGATATCTGATGCGGGTTGCCACGGTAACTTTCTTTTGGACATGATGGTGTTGTTAATGATGATCAAGGAAGCACCTGAAAGGACGCGAATCTATCGAAGGAAGTTCCGCAAAGGCTGGTAACGAGCAAAGGAAGCGAGAGAAAGTTTGCTAGGGCTGGAGCAAACTTTTGAAGGTGCTTCACGCCATAGGAAACGGTAGAGCAGAATGGAGCAAGCTGTGAACCGTTGAACGGGTTCTTTTTCACGGCACATTGAAGCGAAGTTGGACGTCGCCCCCAAAGGTTTTGTTTATCAAATGACGCAACCGGCGCGTCCCCCTTGACACACTTCGACGCGATTGTCGAGCTAGAATGCTTCAGATCTACAACGATGATGAAATTATTGTACAAGAGGACTCTAGCATCATTGCTGTACTTCTTACATGAACTGTGTGATGGTCACAAATATCCTGTCTGATTGTCAGAGCTAACGCATCTAAAGATCCTCCTCATCCGTGTCCAAGTCCGGGTCAATTGTCGGAATCTCGGAGTCACTGCTATCACTGTCGGGGTTTCCATTGGTCTCGGAAGAAACCATGTTGGAGACTGCCCCGGCAGGCTGGACTCCCGAGTTGGACGACCGTTCTTCTATCTCAAACCTTGTGGCAACTAAAGGTTTTGGCAGAGGGTCCTCGACTGCACTGACCTCTTCCATACTTTCATCCTCTAACCGTGGCACCTTGGATAGTCTCGACTCCAACGATTCGCGGGGCTCGAATACCATCGGAGTATCTGCCTGAAAACCGCCATCTTGAACGCTCTGAAGTTTCCGCTTCCTCGCCGTCAATGTCTGTAACCCCCCCTCCTGTTCCTCGGGACCGATGGTAGGCTGTTGTTTGACGCCAGCCTCCAAGGGTTCGGCAGTCCCCTCAGAGGTAACTGAAACTTGGCTGTCCTCGCCAGCTATGCCTGCTGTCTCCTGGACATCAAGGTGGACTGGTGGATCGCGAGGTTCCTGGGCGGGGCGCTCGTTAATTTGTATAACGGGCATTCGAGGTCTGAGAAGAGCCTCGGTTTCGAGACAAGCTGCTGCACTCCTGGCGAGGAACGGAAGTAGACTGGGAGCCCTCGACTTTCCGTCTTTAGACAGCATTGGACGCATAACACTTGCCATCATGGCATCGTGATGATTGAGCAACACGGACAGTCTGTCGGCTTCTATTCTGGCTTGGCGTGATATCATCGGACAATGGGTCAAGATTGCTGGTAGTAAGTTCCAAGCCGCTTGATATACTGCGGGCTGCCTTTCAAGTGAGCGAAGACTCCCAGCCACCGACAAAGTAGATTTAGCACTCAAAAATCCATCCTTTGAGGGATTTTGGTTGCCGCGATCATCTGAGCCGGGAATAGCGCGTTGCAGGTCCTTGCAACAGTGCTCAAGTAGGGTTGAGAAGGTGGTCTCACGTAACACCAGACCGGTAGTTTTCAGCCTGCTCAAGAGACAACTGAAGGTGACGTAGACCTCTCGCCTCACTATATCGTCACCTGCCATGGCCACAAATGATTCCACAACTTGGTTGACCATAGACTCATGCACCGAAAGAAAAGCCTGTCCGTAGGTCTCACATAATTTCTGGATCAGACGAAGACATGACACATGAAGGCGAGGAAGATTCAGCCAAAGACTTTCCTTCTCTTCTCGACTCGTTTCTTTGTTGTACTTTAGGGTATCAGTTGTGTTTGACGCCCGTCGAGGTACTGTCACTGCCAGTATACGACCAAGCAAGTCAAGTATTGGGCCAAGAGGAACTGTAATAACTTGAGTCGTAGGCGTTGACACTAGACATCCTAACCACGCAAGCAACGTTGCAAGCCTGGTACTACCGTCGTACATGCCAACCCATTGACCCAACCCCATCGGATCAGAGCCAGAAGCCTTCGGCTCCTTGGAAAAATCTTGCCTCCCCACCGAGCTTTGACGAGCCCTGTCATTAGCCTCGTATTCCTCGATGACGGATCTGAAAAACACGTTGGCAGCTTGCTGAGCGCTGTCGATGAGGTTGGAGGCTGTCTGGGACCATTCCTGAGCTATTGTATTCTTCGGTGTGCATGACAATAACAAGCAAAGAAGCTGAATGGTGAGCTCCCTCGTTGAAGTCGTAGTCCGAGCGTCTTCAAGCAGGTTCAGGCAAATCGGCTTGATACGGCTCAGGAAGGGGCGAAAGACCGTGGCATGCTGCGGCAACAATTGGATCCAGGATTGAAGCACCGATTGAAGCATGGGGTTGACACTATTGTCAACATGAGCTGTGGCTGGCTTGATGAGGCCAAAACATGCTGTGATAAAACCAGGAAGGAGTGGCGTTGTTACCTCCCGCAACAATACTGGCTGTTCCTGGGAGAGAACAAAAATCCGAGTCACAGTAGCCAGATGGATTCTTTTCACTTCCAGTGGCTCATGTCTTCCCAAGCAGCTGATCAAGCCTCTGGCCCAGACATCCCAGTTCGAGAGAACCTTCAAGCCACCATTGTCAACAATTGCCTTGATGAGCACAGCAGCGCTGAGCCGGCTCGCGGTAGATTTGTCCTGCAGCAAAGAGGTGATTCGAGTCTTGAGTTTGTGGGCGACCACAGAAGAGCTATTGCCTTTGCTGTCTGAGGAAAGCAATTCGACAGGACATTGAGCCAACGAGGTCGCAAGGAAGCCGCATATTCGAGGAAGGTCTTCGGCTGGTGTTATACTCAACCGAGTAGTGATGGCCCGCAGAGCAGTATCATGTTGCATAGCTCCTATGGCTGTCGGACGGATTCTCGGGTCTTTAGAGGGTCGAATAGCATTGAACGAGGCTTGATACAAACAAAGTGCAGAGGGACTCTTTGGTTGTATAAAAACATGGGATCGACACACGTGGTCGTGGTTGGAGTTTGGGAATATTTTTTTTTTTTCGAGGCAAACTGCGACTGGTTGATTTGCAAGTCGCGCGGCCCCCAATGACCGCATCGCGCATTGTTAGCAGCCATAGCACGGTTCACTCTACCATACACCTTACTCGTACCTCCTCATTTATCCCCTAATGCATGTGTCAACCTCATCTCTCGGTCTATTGTTCCTGGCGGAATGCCAGCAGTAGAGTCACGTCTGATGGAGCTGCTACAATGTGCCTGCAACCATGAACCGAGCATAGGACGCTGAGAGTCGCGAGTATATCTCGCGCGTCCCCCAGAATGAGTGTACACTGTCCCAAGCATTCCAGTCACAGTTTTGTATGGCTCGCTGACCCGGTTCTAGACGCACAATGAAAAAGCCCAGCGCTATATCGGGCTTCTAGACGCGGCGCGTGTGGCCGGCCACTGGAAGGAATTTCCAGAACTTATAAGAAAAGTTTCCAAGCATGCCCCTGACCGAAAATGTACGCCTCCTAAACGAGCCCTGGAATCCAGTCTTAACCCTCGAGGCAGGCTTAATACAGGTCGCTAAATTTGAACACGTTGTCGCCAACTATGCCTCTACACTCGCCCGCAGACCCGGCACCGCCCCGTCGAATCAGCCTCTACCAGACTCCCAAGCTACCTCTCTCGAAGAAGACCTCCGCGGCACGGGACATCCGTTTGAAGAGGTGGTACAAGGCCAAACATGCTTGCTTTGGGCGCGCTGGGTAGGCGCCCACAAATCGGACCGCAAGATTCCCGCTGTTACATTCGAACCCATACGAACCGCAGCAGATGCCATTTCAACATGGACAAAGATCTGCGTGGTCAAGACGGTTTACATCAAAGGGATGTTCTTAGCACAAGCCGGGAATGGCAAAGAGGCAAATGAACTACTTGGCTCTCTACTTCCTTGGCTAGATGCCAACAGGAGCATGGTTGTTTCTACTCCCCAACTCCTTTACTGGGCACAACAACTACTCGGACGGGTTGCATTAGGCCAGAGCTCGTCCGTCACAGAATCTACGGACACCATTACTCCCGAGTCAGCCTCGTTCAGACTCCAAGCCTTCCGTCACTGGGCCGTGCTCGCGGTTAAGGACCAGGAGATTTCGGCATCGACTTATGGCAATGGCCCGGGACATTTGTCAAAGCTCGACATGTGGAGAGCTTACTATAGGTTCATGTCCAGTATTCTGCAAAACAGACAAGGAATGGCGAACCACCTCCCTATTGGACACTCTGACTTGGCGATCGAGTTGAGGAGGGTAGAGACATCTTATGAGAACGAGCTCTTGCGAAACGTTCAATTTCCCAAGGCTACTGAGTCCAACGCAATCATAGAGACCTGGGTGGAAGAATTTATTCTCAACTGGCAGATTCTTTGCGGACCCAATTGGTCTGACTCGGACTTGGGTGAAGGTGGTCGCAATTCGTGTGGCAGAAATGTGCTCGACATGCTTTATCGAGCTGCCACAAAGTCATTTCACTCTACCCTTATCCTACGCCGCTTGTTTCAAGTGCATAAAGCCTTGACGGACTTTGGCTTGGCTTACAAGGCTTTGGACACCTATATTGAGCTTATGGAACGAGCGCGGACTAGGGCTGCCAAGTCTGAAACTGCAGCAACCAGCAGAGACAGTGACGAGGTCTTTATGAAAACCATTGCTGAAGGTATTGAAGGCCTGTGCTCCTTTGGCCGCTACGCTGAGGCGGAAAAGGCGCATGAGCTGTGTGATAAGCTCGAAGATCTCCTGGACGAACTCGAACCGCCAGCCACAAGTTCTGTTCCCAATGGCTTCGCATCGAGAAGCAACGCAGTCGTCAACGGGGAAGGGCTGGTCACCCCCACTTTGTCCGCCGACTTGCTGGAGGCTGCCTACCGAGCCATTGGTATAGGAAAAGCCCAGTGGGCTCGGTGGACACCTTTCAGTGAGGAACGGACCAACCTTCAGACCACGGCCATTGAATGTTTGCAGACGGCGGCAGCACAAAATCTCCCTTCTGAAAAGTTACTGCCATCCCTGTATGCACTAAGTCAATTGCTCGCCCAGACGCGAGACATTGATCAGGCGATCGCAACTGTGAAGAGGGCGTTGGCCTGGGAGACAGGCAAGCTCGAGCAACACGACAACTATAGCATACAACGGCAACTGCTGCCATTCTGGCACTTGTTATCCCTCCTTCTCACTTCCCGACACAACTTTGAGACAGCAAGCCAAAGTTGCGTGGCAGCCTTTGAGCAATTTTCGCCACCAGAGACAATCTTCGGCGACTTCTCCAATGGTGCGTCGATTGGTGGAAGATTAGCTAGTGGGAGTCGCAAACTTGGATTGGTGGATGATATGGAGTGTGACGAGTTACAAAAAATCATCGAGATTCGCATCACTGAGCTTGCATTGACAGAGCTGATCGAAGGCCCAGAGCATGCGGTCAACAACAGCAACGACTTGCTTGCATTGTACTCCCGGCTGTTTGGACGATATGGAGTGATCGCTGTCAGCGAAGAAACGTCGAGAAAACGATCAATCCAGCCACCTAAAAGCTCGGGTGGCACAGTCAGGAGTCTTCCGGGCAAGCTGTTCCATCGAAAGAGATTGGGAAGGTCGAGTGAATCATCCAAAGGAGTGCCGATCAATATCGCTCCGTCGATAACGGAAGAAGTGCGGCCCAGTACTCAGGCGACCCAAACCACCCAAGCGCCGACTATCCAGGTAATCAATGAAGACGGCAAACCGTCACCGCATAAGCACAAAATATTTCATATTTATGAGCATGGTAAGGAAGGGAAGCGTCACTCTTCGGCACCTGTATCCACAAAGGGTCTAAGGTCAAGGCGGTCCGGGTCACTGAGTCGAGGGAGAAAGGAGCCAAGTCATGCCTCAAGTACGAGACAGTCTTTCGAAACCTCTCAGGATACAGTCCCTACGCCGGAGGCGATGACAGGTGCTGGTCAACCCGAGCAACGGCCCCAGTTAGAAACCATAAAATCCGGCGATGTTCCAGAGGTGCCTGTGTCTCCAGACCACGATGCAAGCGAAGGAGCCAAACAACCCCTCAAGGAGATACCGCACAACTTGACATCGCATGAGAAAGTGCCACTTCCAGCGCAGCACCAAGATCAACCGCCACAGCAAGATGTGCGGCTGCCAGTCGTGGGGCCGGGGACATTGCGGACGGACCCTACACCTCGGTTCCCGCGCACTGCATCTCAGAGACACGCCCTGAGTATACTGGTCAAAATATGGCTGATTATTGCAACGCTCTACCGAAGAGGAAACATGTTTGACGACTCACGGGAAGCTTGCGATGAGGCAGCTAAAGTGGCATTGAAGATTGAGGGCATGGTTGCCGGCGTGGAAAGTTCGGCGCGCGCCTTCGGTGACAGCGGATGGGGCGGCGGAGGGAAAAGCTCAGACGAGCTTTGGGCTGACGTGTACTGTGAGCGAGCAGAACTACTAATGGCTATTGCCCGAGCTCGCGAAGAGAAGGAAGGCACTGTCTTCTCTGAAGGGATCCGCGAGGCGGTGGACAACTATGAGCAATGTCTGATGTACTTTGCCGACCATCCGGGAGGGATCGTGGGCTTGAGTAATGTGCTCCTGGACTACTACGAACGCAAAGTAGAACTGGCCCGGCGAATCGACAATGGCAGGCCAAGGACAGAAGAGCCACAGCAGCCACAACCTCAGGATGAACCAAGTCGGCCAAAGCACAAACGCGAATGGAGCCGAATCTCTACGGGCGCGGCCATCAACGGCTGGTTCGAGATGGATGGTCCAGCTGCGAATACAAGCACCTCTGTGGGGACATCCAACACTCCGTCGCCAAGAGAAGAGGATCTTAAGAAGACGCCGGACAACCTCAACAGATTGGCAGCTCGTGATCGGGCGTATGGACTGCTGTCAACACTGACGAAATTGGGTTTGGGTTGGGACAACTCAGAAGCATGGTTTGCGCTGGCCAGAGCGCATGAACTGGGCGGCGAGGTGGACAGAGCCAGAGAGATTCTCTGGTGGTGCGTCGAGTTGGAAGATACACGGCCTATTCGACACTGGGGAAATATTGGATGTGGAGGGTACGTCCTCTGAGCGCGTCATATTATTGCGTGTCCTCGGTAGACCCTGATGCTCCTGTAATCCCCGTGTAATGCGAAATAACTATTGCTAAAAACTCCTGCTAGTATAAACACGTAACAGTTTTCGAGTAAGTCGCGACCCGTGATTACACAATTCGCTCTCCGTACCCAGTATAGGCAAGGGATACTCGGTCACGTCGGTATAGCTATAAGCAAACTGGGGAGGCTGAGGTGGAGGCAAGGCACGAAGGAGGCCGTTCCAGGCCGTTGAACCAATCGCTTGGGGCAGAATTTGATCAGGCTTCCCAGTCGTATTCGTGGGTGCGGCCGCTGGGGGGCTGATGTGGCATCAACCAGTGGCGGCGTCCCCCAATTTTAGCAGCAAAAACCTGACGGGCCGCTACAGCCTCACCAGCCCCCTCTGGAGTGGTCATACCAGCCTGACTGGAAGAGGGCGGATTGTCCTTACGTGCATTGGTGTGCGCACTCGGAGAGACATGGGTAATCAAGATGTTTCGATGTAAGAATAGAGAAGCGGCTCAAGCAGGCTCAAGCAGGCTCAATGGGAAGTATCGAATATTGAATGTCAGTCTCGCAGTATAGAAAGGAAGCCAATGTGGGATCGACAAGGTGTGCAGGTGCGCAGCCACTGACGTTACCCAAGCACCCAGTGAAGGATGGGCCGGAGCCTTGGCGGTGCCGCGTAACCTGCTTTGACCAGGCAAACTCCACAGGCAAAACTGGCCGGCAGTGGGCGGGACAATAGGCATACGTAGACACTCTCAACCTCTCATCCACCCACTCACCATGTGAGCCCCAAAAGTCAGATGGGAAACGGGAAACCTTGTGGAAATGGTCGCAACGGTATTACATCGCAATGGAGACCTACGCACATCAGTCGTTTGGCCATCGTCATCCACCGTTGAACCGCCCTTCTCAGGCTTCGAGGTGCCTTTCCGCAGTCCGACGTAACTGCGCCATGATGCCACGATGCTCACTCAACTGCGGCCTTCGTATCGTCCTACTACTTCTACTACCCTCGTCCCGCTTTCTTGCTTTGCATTTTGACTCTTGTGTTTCTGTAAAACCATTCACTGTTGTTCCTTATTGTTTCTGTTTGTTGCAGACTGCGTCACTCGCTCCTCAATATCACCCTTGTTGCGTTAAGCGGCTCTCTACCGTACATATCCTACAAACTACTAGGGCCAGTCTCGCTTAAGCCACCAGCCCTCGACGCCTCAAACGCCTCGTCTTGGTCCCTTCCCAACCACTTATCACTGAATCCTTGGAATAGACAGACACTCTTTTAATTGTGACAGGAACCGAGGAGGCCTGTGTCTGATTTCTCCTTCAAGCAACACAATAATTCCTGGTACGGGTGGTGAAACCAGCAAACCAGAATGAAACCCTCTGTCGCAGTGGTGGCTGCCGCTACATTGGCCGCCCCTCTAGTCTCGGCCATCTACCTCGCTCCCCGCTCCACCTCAAGTTCGCCTAGAACAGTCGGCCTGCCTATTGAGCGAAGACATGTTCCCGACATCCTCGCCCACGAAAGATCTCGCCTAAGGAAACGACAAACGCAACGAACTGTCGAGCAGACTCTGGACAATGAACAGTCCCTCTACTACGCCAATATCACGCTGGGGACTCCAGCCCAGTCGTTACGCATGCACATAGACACGGGCAGCTCGGATTTATGGGTTAACGTTGCCAGCTCTTCTTTTTGCGGGTCTAGCCAAGATCCCTGCGAGGGGGGCACGTACGACTCCTCGGCCTCGTCGACATACAAGCTCGTGAATGACCAATTCAACATCTCCTACGTCGACGGCACAGGGGCTGCGGGTGACTACGTGGCCGACACCTTGCAATTTGGCGCTGTTACGCTGACAGACTTCCAATTTGGCATTGGGGAGACGTCCTCCTCACAACAGGGTGTGCTGGGTATTGGTTATATGGCAAATGAGGTTCAGGTTCAACGTGCGGGACTGGACCCCTATCCAAATTTACCAGAAGCCCTTGTCCGAGGGGGCCACATTGCCTCCAATGCGTACAGTCTTTGGCTCAACGACCTGGACGCCTCAACAGGCGAGATCCTCTTTGGCGGCGTCAACACGGAAAAGTACGAAGGAGAACTCGCCACCATACCCATAATCCCCAGCAACGGCGTCTATGCCCAACTTACCATTGCCCTCACAGGCTTGGTAAGCTCTGGCAGTGACCTCTCTTCCTCGTCATCGTTGCCCACGGCCGTCCTCCTCGACTCGGGCGCCACTCTTAGCTACTTGCCCAATGACATCACCCAGGACATCTACAACCAAGTCCAGGCTGTATATCAAAGCGACATCGGAGCTGCATATGCTCCCTGCAGTCTGTCCTCATCTACTGCCACCATCGACTTCACCTTCTCCGGCCAAACCATTCGGGTTCCATTCGACGAGTTGTTCCTTGACGCGGGGACAAACAACTTTGGCCAGCCCTTGACCTTTGAGAACGGCGAGGAAGCCTGCTTGTTCGGCATTGCCCCAGCTCAAAACTCGTTGGCCGTCCTTGGGGATACCTTCTTGAGGAGTGCCTACGTGGTCTACGACCTGGCCAACAATGAGATCTCCATCGCGCAGACCGTCTTCAATTCCACAGGCGACAACATCCAGGAGATCACGACGGGCGAGAAAGCAGTTCCCAATGCGACACCGGTTTCAAGTCCCGTCACTGACGTGTCTGCCGGCACGGGGGGAGCCAGGCTTGGTACTGCTACTTCCAGCACCCCGTTGGGCGATACCAACTCCGGCTCCCTGGACAAGGGCAGCGCACGACCGATGGCTGCCATGGTGGCTGCTGTTGTGGCCGTTGCCGCACTTGTCGTATGAGACGATATTTCTCTCTGAGCGACAAGATATGTCTGTGGATTGATCTGACAGAGCCGAGCAGCCACAGACAGAAGTACGACTATTAATGATTTCAGCCCTTGTATTATATATACATATACCTTGGTCCACACTTGTGGAAAGGGCGCCCTGATCAAGTCACGTCACGCCCACTGCGTGTTTGACAGGATGAAAACGGCATGAACGAGGACGACTCTCGGATGAGGATGTTTCCGAGCATTTAATATTGCGACGCACGGCCGAGCGATTGCATTGCGTGGGGTGTTTGGGATTTACTCACGACAACTTTGAGCATTTTGCTGGCGTTTCTGTCCTTGCTACTTTTACGAAGGTGGCCGAACACGACCTTACGACGTCTCAGACATAGAACTTGCATGGGGATAACGATAGAACGAAAGGGGTTTTGCGCCCATGAACGGCGCGTGTTCTGCTATTTTGCATTATCAGCGGACCGGGTTACCGGGTGACAGGGTGACCCCCCCAACAAGGGTGCCCTAGAAGAATCTATATCTATGAGTAGAATCGTCTATAGACTAGATAGACTGATAACACATACATTCGTACTCGGTATTCTTCGCAGTGTGCCAGGTACAAATCACCTAGGTACCTTATCTACATTTATCGGTACTGATATAGTGCATTACATTACCGGAGCGTCCCGACGATACCTACAAACACACGGGCGAGCGAGTTGTCGTTCATTTTGTCTGGAAAGTATAATTATATTTTAGCTGGCGCGTGTTTGTGTTGGCTTTTTCGTGCTTCTATAAGATTTCCCCTTTTTGGGCAAGAGAGCCGCCTGGATCTCGACTCGGCCCTTTCGCACATCCCTCGCTTTCCCTTCGAAACATACATCAGGGCATGGCGGCACCCACGCTCGGCCTCGAACTCCCTACACGAATGCCCTTTGCTGTAAAACTGGGTGGTGTGCCTCTACTTACTGGCGTCGTGCGCCCGCTGGTATTCGAAGCGCTTCCAGCGGCTGAGGTCGAACGTTGCCGGTTTTCATTTCCGCTGCTACCCGCGCTGGCGCTTCCTGGCGCGCTGTCTCCGTCGACGTTTAGAGGACCTTGTTGCCCCGGGGTAGCAGGACGGCCGGTAAACCCGCTGTTCCGATTACGGATTGTGGAAACAGGACTGGTCGAGTCGCTGTCAAGAGGTAGTGCCCGAGAAGTCGAAAACACTGCTCGTCCCCCAAAGCCGGGCTCTGGGGAAGCGTCATCCTGTTCGTGTTGTGGCGTACCCATGGGACTCTGATCGTACACTCGTCGCTGTTCTTGCTGCCTCTGTTGACTTTCAGTCTCTTGCTGTGTCGGTTGTGGATTTGCGTCCAGTTCAGTGTGATTCCTAAGCCCACTACTCGTCCCGGTGCCTTCGGTCATTCCCTGCGTTTCCTTTTTGGGATATTTGTAGTAGCTTTCCATCCACGTCATCGAGCTTCCAGGTACGGGTCTGTTCGGAGTAGGGGCGGCATATTGGTATTGATATTGCAAAGGGGAATGAGAAGGCGAATGATTTTGGCCCGGCGATTGGTGCAGATACTGCCTCTCTCTCTGCTGCTGAGCATAACTCTTTACCCGCGGGGTGCGAGGTGAATCAATCGCGCCGTCAAAGTCTGAATATCCGCCAGCAGAGTCATCTTCGGACCAGTTCACGGCACTGCTATTACTGTTCTGCCGGCGGTGGAGTTGTGCCGTGTCATTCATGGAAAGAGCCAGAGCTTTTGGGATGCCATTTGTTGTGCCATCTCGAGCGTAGTAGCTGAGCGCTTCTAGGACATGTGGGAAGACCAGTGTATGCACTTCCTGCGCCCAGAGGAAATCGAGGTGTTCGAAATGAGGAATCTCGGTCGCAATGGTGTGACGAGGGAGTTCCCTAAGCATAACACGGATATCGACCAGGGAGTCACTTCCCCCGTAGACCAGAACAATGGGCGTCTTTATGTTTCTCGTAGGGAACTTGGCAACTTTGTAATATCGGTTGCTGGCGCCAATGCTAAACCTGTTGGAGCTGTCGTCATCATACATCTGGAACGATTTGTTACGGATAATTTGGAACCAATGTACGACAGATTTTGTGCTCGTGAAACTGTAGAGGTGAGGGTATGCAGCGAGTTTTTGCTGCACGC